TATACTGTTCGAACTTTATACATGTAAATAATTTTAGTGAAATCATGTGTAAATTCTAGTATTTATTGTATAAGTAACATGAAAGGCATCCGAATGCCAAGCATCGCCTTAAAAATAGGGTTACAAGGTGAAGTCCATTCAATATTGTGGTAAATAGCTATCTTACCAATTTGGCGAGGTAGCCACGCTTTTCGGTTTTCGCGACTAATTTTGTTGCAAATTTGGCGAGAGATCGCCAAAAGTCGCGAAGCTTGAAGACCATTTGGCTACATTTTGGTCTGTAACCTGTGTAACCGTAACTTGTCCGATCTCTATGTAACTTCAACTGTATTCGGCCACATGTAACTGTAATTGTGTATGCCTTCCAGCAATTTCGAAAAATTGGAGGTTTTTGCGGACGGGGCAAAACTATATAAGACCGGAGAGGGCATCAGTTTTCAGTTGAGTCCGGAATACTGGAAGATCAGCGTGCGAGCTGCACTTTTAGATGCGTTTTGCATTGCTTGTCGTCAGCGTTCTTAGTTGTTTGAAGTTATAACTAATGGTTGACATACGGAGAAGAGCTGTACAAATATCTTTGTGTGAAAAGTTTCAAAACCGATAAAGTGGTTTTGGAAATAAATAAATTTTATCAAGCTATCATCGGTTCTTTGTGCATTCAATACATTACGAATTCATGAGCACGTAACAATACAATAATTAATCGAACAATCTTACCTGAAATATTAGGATAGAGTAAAATTCTCATTTATTACTTTTTAAATAAATTTAAGTCTTTTATCTATCTAGTACTATATTTTTAAATTATTAAAATGTAACCACTAACAAAATAAAAACAAACACTGGAAGATTACTAAATTTTTGAATTACATTTGTAACATGCTTTTATTGGGTTTAAAAACACTTCGAGTAATGTGCCCTTACCGCGCTGCCGATTGCACTCTAAAAGGGAGGTCCATAAGAGTCCCAAATACAAAATTTTAATATTTTACAGAGAACCGTTTTTGAGTTACTCGACATACGTAAGTGTAGACATCACAAGGGAGTTAGTGAAAATGTATTCGGGAACGGACAAAATTAATATGCCCGCTGAAATCTGAAAACTGAAATTTTTCGCGACGACAGTACTTTCTTTATGTCATACAAGGAAAAAAAATCAAAGGTGCATAACTAGGTGTTATAACAGTCTCATATGCAAAATTTCAACATTCTACGGCTAATCGTTTCTGAGTTATGCTAGATACATGCGGACGTACATACGTTACATACATACGTATGTACAGACGTCACGAAAAATCCATTTTGAAACCGTTTTACAATCCATCTTGGAATAGAGTCCTTTATAGTCCTTACAAACAAAGGTCATGCAAAAAAAAAAAAAAAAAAAAAAAAGTCAAAATGAATATTTCCATTAAAATCTGAAAACCGAAATATTTCGCGATTACAATACTTCCTTTACGTCATTCAAGGAAGTAAAAAATCATATAATGCAGAATCTGTATATAAGAAGTAAAAAAAAATTAAATACTATGTGTATGATGTATGTTCCTCGCATTGTGGAAAAAAGGACGACACCTAGAACCACAGGATTTCTAATACGCGTAGTCCTCCGCCCGATCATGTGCAATTCGAAATCCGGATTTTGAATTATGAATTTGGTTTTTATTAGTCCAAAGGGGCTTTGTCCGTGAAGGACTACTGCTTTCGTTTTGCGATTTTGCTTTGAATCACTATAAATGTCCGTTTCACTTTTCAAACTGTTGCCACCAAATGTTAGAATCCTGCGTTATATTTGAAGAAATTAAATAATGAAAAAGCTGCATAAATATATGTATATTTCCTCGCATTGTGAATAAAACAACGATATATAGAGCCATCGAATTTTGAATGACGTAATCCTTCTACAAATATGGGCATGTGGAATAACCAAATTTGAAATTTGGAATTAGTTTTTTTATCGATTTCATATTTTTGTAAACCTTTAGCGAAGTTTTTGAGTAGTACAAACTCAACGATTTAAAAGCGAGCAATGGCATTACTATACGGGGGAAAAAAAAAAAAAAAAAACCTTTTTGTCTCCAGCGCGCGGAACTGTGTATCTGGAAATTCTAAAGATATGCTCATTTAAAAATATTTTGCGACATTGCTATTAAACTGAATTTTATGGTTTAAGTGCAAAGAACGTGATATTTAATAAATAAAGGTAACACACAAAACGTTAAAAAAAAAACGTCCCCTTGGACGTAATTTAAAATCTGAAACTTTTCAGATTCTTTTTATTTAATATTTTGTTCAAATTTAATAAATTTTTAATTAACAAACTCAAAGATTTGAAAGCGAGAATCGGCAACACTTCGGAATAAATTTATTTTCAGCACCCCAGATTGTTGCCACTGAGAAAAATGTAAGATATTTATCTTTCAGTTTTAATCAACAAACTGGGGAGGTTAGAATAGATGGAGTAAGCTTGACTTCACAAAAATTAAGCCAAGTAAATTCAACAGCGTAACGTTAGGACTTATCATAACCGCCATGCAGCATACGGATGAGACTATACGAAACATACTACTAAAAAAAAATTACACTGACTTTGAGAGAAAATATCAACGTCTATAGGCTCAGAAAAATGTCTTTAGGTGTAATGTGCTTAAACTACCACTAATTTTGTAGACTTTACCATTTACACATTTTCATGTACCTAGATTTTATGAAATTTGAAACAGTTATTTGCAATCCGTGTGATTTTTCTGTATGCTAAATAAAAAATTATTTATATTAAGTATTGAAATTAGAACGGTAGACTGACAAACGTTCAGTGATGAATGCCTAACATGTAGACAACACCGATTAGAATGTAAACAAAACCAGCCAGAAATCCGCATGTGGCAGCGGCCATGATAAGTCGTGACGTCAAACCGGGACGTTTCATGGTCGCACGCTGGAGATAATTTTTTTTTGGGGGGAGGGGGTACAGGGTTGCCAACGCTCGTTTTGAAATCGTTTAGTTTATTAATAAAAAATTCTTTGAAGTGTTACAAAATATGAAATCAATAATAAAACAGATTTCAAATTCAAATTAGGGCTTCCACATGCCCATATTCTATGAAGATTACGTTATTCAAATTTTGATGGTTCTAGGTACCGTTGTTTTATCACAATGCGAGAAACATACATACATACATTCATGCATATTCTTCATTATTTAATCTCTTTAAATATAATACAGAGCGATAATATTTGGTGGCAACAATTTGAAAAGGGAAACAACGCTTATCGTGAATCAACGCAAAATTCCAAAACGAAATAAATAGTCTTTCTGGGAAAATTGCCCCTTTGGACTAAAAATATTACGCTAATTAATAAAAAAAAAAAAAAAAAAAAAAAAAAAACATTCGTATATACTTAAAAATTAAAAAAAAAAAAAAAAAAAAAAAAAAGAGAGAGAGAGATAATAAAAATACTAAATAAAAAGCCCCCCCCGAAACAAAATACTAATGTGACACTGAAAAAAAAATGTAACGCAAATACTATGAAAAATGTATATACTACATCTTTTTAATTCCCACTATAAGCCATATGGAAACATGCTACATCAACTAAATTTATTACATGCGTGATTTTAACCTCTTTGTTTTATATTTTCTCTTTAAATTTCTTTTATGAGTCGTTTTAAATTGCGTTAAATACGTAAAACAATATTTTATTGTTCTTTAATCTCAATTTTATAATTTTAAGTTCAAGAAACGCCGGTCTATGGAGACACTTTCTTTCTAGCTATATTTAAAGCCTTAACGTAGATTTGTTTTTTAATAACAAATTATTCATTACAGAAAATATTCCTTCAGATGCTGTGTTTTCCCGATTTCTGAAAAGAATAAACTCTACAATATTGCAAAAAAACTTTAAAATCTTTCCTCATTTCAGAAAAACATCTGTACTCTTCTTATCAGGAATATATTTTTTATTCCACCCATTGAAGCATCTCACAATTTTTAAAATTCTTTGAATGGTGCAAGGAGTAAACAATTCGAACAAGGGAAATCCACAATTATCATATCATTCTTGAGACTGGTATGCAATTACAATATACATACTGTATGCAATATATATATATATGAACAGCAATTTAGAAATATAAGTGAAAGCGTATTTATAACTCTTGTTAAAACGGGATATAATTGTAGTTTCTACCAAAATGACCAGACAAGATATTGAAAAAATGGAAAGAACGAAGACAGGCGATGAAAAACATATGCCCGCGGAAGGCGGGCATATGCCTATCTTTCTTTATTGAGGAGCTAATCCCGTTTTTTCTCCGTTTAATCTTTGAAATAAATTATATACAGTGTTATGAATAAGTTCACAAAAAAAGGTAAGCGGACTGTAATTATCACTTGTTTATTTTACATAACTCTTTGAAATAGAAGGAATGCCGTCCAAGTGACGACACAGCTCACATCACACCAAGACCGTAGCATTAATAAAAAAAAAAGAATAGAATACAGATCACATAAGTTAAGAGTTGAAAGTTTGTTACCATAGCAACCAGAACTGAATCATCAGGCAGCAACGCCATCTATTGTTGCAAAGAACACTAGTAAATCTTTGGTAACAAAAAATACTAAAACATAGCCCCCGGCCTTGAAGCCTTCTAAGGGTTCAAAAAAGACAAATAGTTAAAGTATACACAATAACATTAACAAAAGAAATTAATTGAAAATATAACTAAAATTAAAGTTCAATAATATGAAAAAAGTCAATAGTTCATAAGTTCATATTAGTCATGATTGGGGATAAGACACAATTTAGTAACAGCTCGTTTGAAATTACCAGCGGCTGTATGGATTGTAGCCACTCGAACTTTTTTATCACTACCTGGATGAATTATAAATCACCACATTTTAGATTGGGAGACGCACGAAACCACTTAGCACGTTGTTGAAGTATTGTTAAATATTCTGCACACCATCGTTTCCAAAAATGTTGCACAGTCTGTTGAACTAGAGACCAACGTTTAAGTCGTGAAGATTCACATCACTCAAGTCAGATTCCGGAATGGCAAGCAAAGGGGCTTCAATCAGAAAATGACCTGGAGTCAATGCACTAAAGTCGTTTGGATCATTAGACATCACACAAAGAGGACGGGAATTCATACACGCTTCCACTTGCGTAAGCACTGTTAAAAATTTCTCGTAAGTTAGAAGTGTGGATTCTAATGCTCGTTTAAGATGAAATTTCATGGATTTCACAATAGATTCCCACAAGCCACCGTAGTGAGGAGATGTCGGAGGATTGAATAACCAAGTTATACCTTCTGAGGTAATGTAGTCACATAATTCACTGCTTTTCTCAATGCGTGCTGCATTTTTATAAATATCCTTCAGTTCCTTACTAGGACCTTTGAAGTTAGTTGCACAGTCACTCGAAATTTCAGATGGTTTCCCTCGTCGGGCGATAAATCTTTTTAGAGCTGCTAAAAACGTTGAAGTTGACATATCATTGACTAACTCCAGGTGTACAGCTTTTGTTAAGAAACACACAAAAATGGATACATAACACTTGAATGTTTTAGCTGTTCTTCCAACTTGGAACTTAATTGAATAATGACCAGCATAATCAACACCGGTGGCTGCAAAAGGTCTTGTTGGTTAAACTCTGGGCGAGAGTAAATCATCTATTATCAGGGTCACAGTCTTGCCTCGATTTCTAATACAAGGAATACATCTGTAAATAATCTTCTCACTACGCTTCTCACTGAAGAATCCAAAACGCATTCTTAAGTGTTATAATAACTCTTGACTAGCATGCAAATAATTGACATGGTAATGAGTTTACGATGGATTAGTGACATGTACCTTCCTTTGGAAGAAAAATAGGATGTTTGCTATTTCAGGAATTTTGCATTTTTTAAGCGACCACCTACTCGAATGACGCCTTCTTCATCAAGGAAGGGAGTTAATTGTATTACTCGGCTGCTCACGCCTTTTAATTCTCTCGATGTTTTTAAATAAGAGAGCTCTTGAGGAAAATATTATTCTTGGACATTTTTTAATCACTGTTTTTGTAGCTAATCGGTTGTCAGAAAACTTCTCAAACGATTTTCGGAGAAGTCTCGACAGTTGTAAATAAATCTTAGGCATAATGCAACTATACGACGTAATTTTGTCCAAGTGAGTACCGTTTAAAAATGTCATTTTCCTTTACCGCACAAGATGCTGAAATGCAAGTTTTCTTCCTTCTCTACGAACTCCTTCATAATCTACATCAGCAAGATGTTCACTGTCGCGGCATGGTTCGAAATCTTGTGAATATTAGCAAGTAGGTCCAATGGACCATCGCTGACACTTCAGAAATTCTGCTGGAAACATTCCTCTTGTATCTGAATCAGCTGGGCTCCGCTTTCCATTGATATGGTTCCACCTTACATTAGGAATTGTATTCTGTATTTTAGAAACGCGGTTTGCAACAAAGGGAACC